GGAAACTCTCCCAGGGTCTGATGCAAACAATGAGTACGTTATTTTATTCCAACTACCACTTGCCAGTCCAGCAATACGTGCTCTCAAATAATTTGGATCAAATATGACAAGTGCAAATCTCATAATAACCAGCTGAAAATTTGGAACCAGCCAGATTTGGGGGTACATATTGAAGCCTTAAGGCTCAAGCTACAACAGCAAATTAGGACCCCTCTTCATAGCATGTAAAGAACTCCCTTCATTCTTTACCACACTTCTGGCTTCTTCCATAGTGCTATACTTTCAGCTTATTTAAATCACTTTAATCTTAACAAAATGAAATCTTGAGAACATCTTAATTTGAGGAGAGTTTTAGCTGCAAGCTGCTATTTTGCTCCATGCTATAAAGAAATTTTATTTTATCATTTATGCATGATTTATTTATTTTTATTTTTTTAATTTATTTTTTTAATTGAAGAAATTATTTAAAATTTTTCCCCTGTCTACCTCCCCCCTCTCTCATTCTCCCTAGACAACGTACATTGGTTCTTTCAGACTAGACCTGCCTTCTCTGAATCTCAGAGAAGATTCTGCCTTAATGAGATACTGCAATTTGTTGCCTTTTTGATCATTGGAAAATTGAACAGATTGATCTATAAAGCCTACCTCGTTTTTCATCCAGCATATGTGTTCCTCAAACAAACAAAAATCATTTCTGTTTATAGTTTATCATAGAGTTTATAGACCCATTTAGGAACCAAGGACTTTGCATATTACATCCCCAGAATAAATAAACATTAGTAATGATAATAAATGGAGCAATAATAAGAAAATTGGAGGAGGTAGTATTTCAGATAGGCTTGCTACAGTTTGTCTATTGGAGCAGACAGTTATTGGAAAGCCCTGATGAACTACCAGTCTAGAGAAAACTTTTTTAAAAGGTTTAGTGCAGTAGTCAGCTAAAAATATTTCAGAAAGCTCAGTTCAATTTTCTATGTGAACACCATGCAATTTTCAAGAAATGAAGTCTCTTTTCTTTTATTAAACAATTGTACTAAAAAATTTGTTGATTGTCTCCTCCCCCTGGAAAGTAAGCTCTGTGAGAATAGGGACTTTGTTTTGCTGTATTCCTGGCATGTTAGAATGCTTAATAAATATTTGCTGAATAAATAAGGGCATGAATCTGAAGCAAGTAAACAAATAGATGAATTTTTTTCTGTTTTCTGTAGAAAGCAGACTGATTCTACACTTTTCTATCAGATACGTATACATAACATATGATACCCAAAAATCTAATGTGTTTTCAGGGATCTCGCAGTTTCTTTGGGGGTGAATCTTCCATAAGTCTGGGAGATTGTAGAAAGACTCTACTGAAAAGCTCGGCAAAATGGCACCATTTCTACAAGATATTCATGTAGTACACTTAACAATGGGTGTGAAAACAGAGTAAAACCGCAGAGAACTGCTAAATAGTGTTACACAGGAAGTAGTGTGGCTTCCTGACTTCTACACACTAGGGGAGCTATTTTTAGGTTGCACTCAATCTAGAAAACAAAAGCAGGAAGAGTTCAAACCTGTCTCTTCCCACTGTCATGTGGAAGAAACACGGAGAAAGGCCACAGAGAAAAGGAGCAAAGTGGCAGGGCTACACAAAGGAAAATTGCTGCCTAATATAATAAATATCTGAGGGGCATTAAAGGAGAGCAGCCATAGTTGAACACAAATGATGATGAAAATGCATTTGCCATTGGAGATAAAGAATGCTATATCACTGGTGTTTAAGAACAGTTAGAGTTATCTGCCATCTGCTGGCATGTGAAATGCAGATAAAATTGGCTGAAAGCCTCTTCCATGCACTGTAGAAGTGCAATGCTCACTCCAAGACTGAATGACTTTTCAAGGGAGCTGTATTCCTATGGCTCTTTGAGTCAAACATGAAACTCTGCCCTTGTCTCAGTTCACATACACACACACAACGTTTTGGAGTATATAAGTCTCTGCTGAACTAGTGTAGGTGACAGAATGGAGAGGGCTGTCACATAGCACAAGGCACAGCAAACAATTTAGAATTTGTTCTTTAAAGAGCTTCGGCTCTTTCCACCTGCATACAGGCCTTTTCACTATAATCAGCAGCAGACTTTCACCAGCTCACTTCTCCCTTCTTCTCTCTACTTCTTGCTCTCTGCAGCAAAACCTATTCCATTTCATTTTGTCATGTGGAGCAACTTCCTTATATAGTTAGATGCTTGCCCTCAGAAGCTCACCTTTTATTCTTAAAGTTTCTCCTTAAACATGAATTTTCTCCTTAAGAACACTTTTAGTGATAGCCATCTTGATAATAACATTTTTGCACTTCAAGAAAAGAAAGGCACCATCCCCTAGTAAATCTCTATGAAAAGAGAGCAGCTTCAGACATGGAGGAAAAGAATTATCAAAAAAAGTAAAAAAGAAATCTGAATGAGATCAGAACAGCACAAGTTCTTTAGCCATAATTTGCTAAAATAATGGAAGTCAATATCAGAGCCTGACAGTATATTTAGTTACCATTTATATATAAAACCATATTTTAAATAACTACCATAAACTGATTCTAATTTTATTCTATAATTAGGCAACAGAACATTCTTGATAAACTCTTTTGTTATCTTTACAAAGCTTCTAATTAAAGAACTTCTCAAAACATTATGGTTGGTTTGAACTAGGTGAGCCATAACTGGTTATTTTAGTCAAATCCTCATTCTCAATAAGACAAAGTAGCTTACTTCTTATTCATATTTTGGTGTGCTATGTGTTATACAAAATATTGTCCACCATATAGCAAAAGAATACTTTGTTAATAAGAGGATTTTTAAAATTGTACACTCTGCAAGAGATGAAATTCTGTAGTCTAGGGTAGAAATTCTCAAACTGTGGCCCCAGACCAGCAGCATAATCAACACCTGGGAATTTGTTCAAAATGCAAGTTCTCAGGCCCTGCCCCAGACCTCCTGAATCAAAAAGTCTAAGTGTAGAACCCACAATCTGTGTAACAAGCCCTTTAGTTGATGCTGATGCCCACTCAAGTCTGATGACCACTGCCATAGTGTCACCAGGCCTCCAGAGCCTTTGAATGTTTCTGAATGCCAGTGCAATTCCTGAAGTAAGCTTCATTTCATCGCCAGGTCCTTTGATTCACAAAAATCTGTGACCCAGTTTTAGATGTCATGGTTTCCCTACTGGCAGCCATTCATAGTTCTCTACCAGGCTCACTGCTCCCTGCTATGCACCCTTGGATCGAGCTGCTAGTATGTTGGTCATACCATGCTATGCAGGGTGGGAGAGTTTAGCCTTGCCAGCTCTCCTCACTTACTGTTCAAAGCTCTCCCAACAACTCTTGGAGCATTCAAAGTTCTTAAAGAAAGGCCTTCATGTTTCTGTCCTGGAACTACCAGTGGTTACAATGATTCCACCAGGGCCCTCAACTCTAAACATTAAACTCCTGGCTCTCACCTCCTGAGTTCTTGTTCATAGCACAGCTGCCTTCTATTCACACAGACCAGGGGCAACCTTGTCCACTGTGTTCTCCTTAAAGCAACTCATCTACCTCTTCTTCGGGGCTCAGCTTTCACCTTGAGTTTTGCAAAGCCAGTGGTTCTTATATTTTAACGTGTCAGACTCAGCCGGAAAGTGTATTAAAACACAGAGTGCTGGGCCCGCCCCACTATAGTTTTTGATTCAGCTGGTCTTGCATGTAGCCCAAGAATTTGCATTTGTAACAAGCTATTCAAGAACCATACTTTGAGAACTACTGTTGAAAGCCAATGGCACTCAACTTATTTGCAGATGAGTACCTAACAAAAAAAACCAGACTTGCCCCTCCTCTCTATCCCCAAATGACTAGTCCTTGATGTCTTCCAAGAAATGCAAAGCATCCATCAATTAAGTCAATATATTTGTTTGTCTTTATTGGTAATTAAATTCCACTCACTTCAAAAAAAGTTTTGAGGCAACTTTAAATCATCAGCAGAAATAGTCAATTTACCTAGCGTGCTCAGAGAATTGCTTTTCCTCCCAGGGGAAATAATGTACTCTGTTGCTCTTAAAATCTGCTAGCCTTGGCCCTGATTCCAGTTTTCTCCAGCTAAGGTGGAGTTGGGGTGGGAATGGGGAATGAGAGTTCAGAAATCTTGCTGTCTCTAAGCAGGACAACAGCGGTAGTAGAATTAAGGAGACAGACTCTGGCTTTGAGAAGCAAATGGGATGTGACATTAGTAATCCTGCCAATGATCGAAACAATTAAACTCCTACTCTTAACAGGGAGTCCCTCACTTCCCCATCCTTTCCTCCCTTGTTCACCAAGCCAAACCCAGAAATAGAACACGCTCACTTTTCAGGTTACTCTCTCTCTACTTCATCTCCAGAGATCACATCTGCTGCTCCCAGAACAAGGCCCTATTCTCGCAGCTACATAAGTCACTGCTGACATCTTCCTCTGGAAGGTGGAGCTGAAACTAGGAGAGAAAAACACCAGTAGGGCAAAAGCCTCATTCCAGGTCCCAAATGCCCAGAACTGCCTGCCAGCAGCAGCCAGGTCCCTGGTCCGCAGCCCACATCAGAGGCCTGCAGAGAATGGGGGCGTGCTAATGGAAAACACATGGTGGCCTGTGGCTTACCTTTCCTGAGTTCACTACTCCACCTGGGGTGGGGGCGCTCCTAGGAGAGCTGTTTGAGAGGACCTAAGGCATAAAGTCATGTACCACTTTCTAGTTTCTCCCGATGAAAGCAGAAAGTCAGCATCCAACCTACCCCCAACTGAAACTAGCCTCACCCTGCTGATTCAAGTGCCAAAGGTCCTGGGGGAATAATATTCAAATGTCTCTGCTAACTGCCTTTTGCGTCTCACAGTGGTTCCCTAGGAGCATAAAATATGAGAAGTGAAACTGAACATGTCACCCCTTTAATGAGGGGAGAGGAAGAACCACCCTGAAAGCCCTTTACATTGGGCCTGTTATTTTTCAGTTGGTCACACACAGGCCCTCACTATGAAGGGTTTCACGGCTGCCTTCCTCATCTGGACTCTAATTTCTCTCAACGGCGGTGGTGGCCAAGCCTGGCCCACACACACAGCTTGCAAAGATGGAAGCTTGGAAGTGCTCTACCAGAGTTGTGGTAAGGTCTTTCAAAATATCCATTTGTGTTTGAGGGGAAAGTAAGGCCAACAGATGGGCTGCTGTAGCGCTTAGTTGGGGTGGGTGAAGGGTGAGGAGACCAGCACCAGACACTTTCTCCACTCACGGTGGGACTGCAAGGACCATTTGGATCCTTTGGAAAAAAGGGGGTCAGAGGTGGGAAAGATCTTAAAGAGACCCACCAAGAGGACAAAACAGAGACGTTGAGAATCTAAATGGAGCAGTTCACTAATACTACAGAAGCTGAAAAATAACAAAATGACCAATGAGTCTATCAAATTAAGAAACCTCACCAGTTCAAAATTAAGAAAAGAGTCTTCCAATCCCCTGCTTAATAATAATAATAACAATAATAACAATAATAATAATAATAATAATTGTACCCCTAGACAGTTTCTTTAGTTTGCAAGTTGAGTGAAAAGGTCACTTATGCCAAAGAGAAGATTCCTGTCCTTCTTATGACATTCCTAGAGTTTCCATTGCAACAGCATCACTCATTATTAAGCAAAAACTTATTTTGCAGCTATTATTGCCTGGATTTTCTCTAGTGCTAGACATAACAAAAGAGAATGAACCATAATTGTTACCCCAATGGTGCAAACAGATAAACCAACAAAAATTGCAATCTAGTGAGCAGAATGTGGGGAACTACTGTAATGAGTGTCTGAAACAACACTTTGGGGTTTAGATTAGTCTATTAGGGCTGTCATAACAGAACACCACAGATTTGGTGGCTTAAATAACAGAAATTTACTAATAGTTCTGGAGGCTAAAAGTCTAAGATCGAGGTGTCAGCAGCATTGGTTTCTCCTAGGATCTCTCTCCTTGGATTGCAGATGGCTTTCTTCTCTCTGGGTCTTTACATAGTTTTTCCTCTGTGCCCACACATTTTTAGTGTGTCTCTCTCTTCTTATAAGAACACTAGTCATGTTGGATTAGAGCCCACCCATACAACCTCTTTTACCTTAATCACCTCTTTAAAGGCCCCATCTCCAAATACAGCCATATTCTAAGGTATTGAGGGTTAGGGCTTCAATATACTAATCAGCGGAGGAGGCATAACAACTCAGTCCATGAAGGGGGCCTACATGGTGAGAAATGAGCCTAACCTCAGGACCACATCTCGAATAAAGATTAGAGGGATGGGCTCATGAAATATGACACTTTGGAGGTTGACAGGAAGCAAAATATTGTTTGGACTGAAGGAGGTGAAAAGGAGATACACTTTAAGCATCTGTATTGCCCCCACTGCAAGCTCAGAAGTTGTGGAGATGTTGCACTTGAGCAGATAACTGATCCCTGTAACTGGCACCCAAGGAGCTGCCTCAGAAAGGGCCTGACAATTAGGCCAGTCTTCAAGGTCATTTGTCTTCAGTTTGACTTGACTTGACTCCTTTAAAAAGAAGAAACATAGAACATTAAAATGCACCCCCCAATATTTTTTAATGTTAAAGAGAATGAATGGCTAGATGCCGGTGTGTTGATCTCATTACTCTTGCTCTTTCTGCTGGCATCTATTTATTATGAGCAGGATGAGAAGCAAGACTTGAGATGAATGGACTGGTCAGGATTTGTTTTTCCAATTCATCCTCCCATAAAAGTTTGCCATGACTGATCCACCTCCCTGACCAGCCTTCAGCCTACAGCCAAGCTTGGCACAGCCTTTCAAGTCGCTGCCAGGAGCAACAAGAGGAGCAGATGCATCAGGAAAAGAACTAGATCATTGCACTGGCCCACCTAGGGATAAGTCCTCTGTCTGCTCCACAGAGGCAATGAATGTCAGGCACAAGTCCTGCTCTGGGCACTCAGAAGAACAGAATGGAGGAGATGCAGTTCTCGTCCAACAGTGGTAGGGGTCAGACAATTAAATAACAGGGTAAACGCTCTGTATGAAGGGCTGGAATAGAGGTATGCATCATGTACCAGGGAACACAGTGGTTGGAAAGGATGAGGTTGGAGACCAAATCTGTCAGAGGAAGGGTCATCAAGCTTGAGTTCAACCTTAAAGAATGATAAAAATAGTAACTGTAACATCTCATGTTTTTGAAAGGTTTATATGTGACAGGCACTATGCCAAGTACTTTCTATGAATTATTCTTATTTTACAGATGTGTAAACTGAGGGTTAGAAACATCAGGTAACTTTCCCAAGGCCACACAAGCAACAGTGGCAATATTACATCTCTAGTGGCACAGAGAAGGCACGAGGTAAATATTTGTGCAATTAACATGAATTGATCCAAGGCCTGCCTGACTCCAGAACCTGTGTTTTAATCTTCTGCTGTCTAGAGTTTGATCTGAAGTCAGTGGAATAGAGGTCAGGATCAGGAAGGAGGGAATGGCATGTGTGAAGGATGGGGATGTGACCAGACATAGAATTCAGGGTGCTGAACACAAGAGCGGGATGAAAAATAAGGTGGAAAGTTTTTCAATATGATCGTTAATTTTATGTGTGAACTTGATTGGGTTAAGAGATGCCCAGCCACCTGGTTAAGCTTTATTTCTGGATGTATCTGTAAGGGTGTCTCCAGAAGACAGTAGCATTTGAATCAGTGGACTGAGTAAAGCAGATCACCCTCACCAATAGACCTCACCTAATCTGTTAAGGGCCTGGATAGGACAAAAAGGTGGAGAAATGGAAAATCCAATTTTGGCCTGATGGCCGAGTTGGGCTTTATCTCCTGCTTGCAACACTTTTGCTTCTCAGGCCTTCAAACTATATCATCATCTTTCTTGGATCTCCAACTTTCAGGTAGCACATCATGGGAATTCGCAGCCTCCATAGTCATGGGAGCCTATACCTCATAATAAATCTCTTTCTAGAATACATATATATATATTACATATGTAATTTCATTGTTTACATTTTTCTGGAGAACCCTAATACACAAGGAGACCCAGATAAAGTTGGGCTGCATCCCATTGGCAATGAGGAGGACACATTTGGAAAGATCTCTCGGGTAATGGGTAGGAGTGTAGATATTAGACTGAAAGCTGTTTGAGGCTAGAGGCAGAGTTTGTAGTCTGTAGAATCAATAATCCAGGAAAGAAACAATGAGAGCCTGAACCAGCACGTTTCAACAGCCATAATGTCAGAAGGAATCTTCAGTACACTTTGGGGTTAACAAAGTGAGTCCTAGGAGCTTCTTTAGACATGGGCTCTGCTTCATGTCTTCCTAGCCATTGACTGCATACCCCTCCCCAGATGAAAGTGGCCCTCTCTCCACTGTAGGATTCATAGTGAGGCAGCCTCCAAGGACTTCACATTGATAACAGTGCTAAGGCTACATGTTGTGACACTCTAGCCAGTCCTGGTATTTACACATCCTTAGTGCACATCAGAGGCTTCTAGAATTCCAATATGCACATGGATGTGAGAGAGTTAGCCGACCGAATAGAGGATCCATTATTTTCTAGGCTTAGTGTTTTATTTTTCCCCTCTCTTTTTGTTTTATAATTTTAGTGGGAAGAAGAAATCTTAAGTTAGAAACTGTTTTGAATAATACGAAAACCCTTGAAAAGAAAGAAACTTATAAGCATTCATGGAGCTCTCAATACTGACCAGGAAGTAAGTAAATATTCTGAAAAAGCAGAAGTCCTGCTATGTCCAACTATTAGTACTACAGTGTAACAACCTTTACAAAAGCAAAGAAGGAACAAGAGCAGTCAGGGGACTTTCTTTGGTTAAATCACAAGACAATTCCCAGGGCTAGAAAAATCCCAGGGACCCCGACCCCATGCACATGTCGCAAATGTCCACCAATGTATTTATTTACACACTGCCTCTACACACCAGTACATGAGGTAGATTACGAAAGTACACATGATGAGAAGGTGAACTACTAGTGGAAGAAGCAGAGTAAGGGGAGGGTGAAGAAGGGGAATGATAAAGCCAGGGTAGGTCAGGATACATACAACAATGAGGCAATGTGAGGGATAAGATTTTGGGATCTGGAGTCAGCAAAATTCATTCCAACCCTTGAGCAATACTAAGTCTCCTGTGCTTGATTGTAAAGTAGCTGCTGTCAGAAGTTATCACTTGGTGGCTTAAAGTGACACACATTTATTCTTTTAGAGTCCTGGAGGTCAGGAGTCCAAAGTCTGTTTCACTTGGTCAAGTGCCACTCTCTCTTGGAAACTCTAGAGGAGAATCTCTTTCCTTGTTTTTTTCCAGCTTCTACAACTGCATCCTTTGCATTCCTTGGCTTGCAGCCCCTTTCTCCATCTTCAAAGCCAACAATGTAGCATCTTCAGCTATCACATTGCTTTCTTCTGTGCAGTATCTCCCTCTGTCCCCCTCTTACGAGGCCACTTGTGATTAGGGTAATCTCATTACCTCAAGACCCTTAGTTTAATCATAGTTGCTAAGTCCCTGTTGCTAAATAAGGTTACATTCAAGGTTTCTTGGCATTGGACATAGATATCTTTGGGAGCCATTATTCAGTCCACTACAGAAGGAATAATAAATTCACATACTGCTCAGGTTGTGTGAAAATTAAATGCAAAATATTGTTGCCATTGTTGTTGTTGTTGTTGCTGCTGCTGCTGCTGCTGCTGCTTTTATGGGTTTTTGATAAGGACTGGAGAGCAGAGATCTAGGTAGTATTTTCTGGCCAGAGCCTTGAGTGTAGATCTAATGTTGTCATTTAATGTGCTTTGACATCAACCAGGCAGAGAGGAGGATCATAAAAAATAAGAAACCTATGACACATGCCTAAATCACTTCCTGTCCCCCTTTTAATTTCCCTGACACTCATAGTCAACCTGCCCATTCAAGCAGTTCCTGGGAGTTGTCCAGTGCAGAGGTCAGCAAATGAAGCCCATAGGCCAAATCTCACCTGCTGACCATTTTTGTGTGGCCCGTGAGCTAAGAATAGTTTTTACATTTTTAAATAGCTAAAAATTTGAAAAGCAAAAGTAATATTTGTGACATGTGAAATTATATGAAATTCAAATTTCTGCATTCATAAATAAAGTTGTA